GTAATTTCAATCCCTTAAACATGAGTAATATTCTTCCTCTGAATAGAAGTAAAGTGTTATCATCCCCTCGGTAATCATATTTAGGGGGAAGAAAATTACTCGTATTGAGAAAAGCTATATCACTTTTATTCCTATTTAGGATAATTTTTAGGATACGTAGACTTTGCACACTCTTATATACCCCTAATTAGCCTTTGCACCCTAATTTTAAAATTGTTAGTATTTACACCCTAAACTAACTGGGTCTGTTAGTTAGACTTCTCAACAATCCTAAATGACATCAATACCCTCTTGACAGCTTGATCCTACACATCCCAGACTTCCCATACAGCTCCCAATCCGGTCCTTCATTAACACAATACCCATCCTACAAAACTGAAGTTTGATCCTACCCACCCTACATTAATACCTTCCTGACAGCTTGATCCTACACATCCCAGACTTCCCAGATAGCTCCCAATCCGGTCTCTCATTAACACACTACACATCCTACAAAATTGAACCCTGAAATGAGGCCTACAAAACTGAAGATAAAAATGCACACTAATGACATTACCCAGAAGTGACTGAAACACAAATCCTAGAACACAAAACTCAGGCCTATTGAAAAAACAGATACAACATGAAGATAAAAGATAAGAACATAATTAAAATATAAGAAAGGAAAAACAGAGCATAAATTTAAATCAACAACATAAACGAAAGATTCAACAGCCCATTGATTCTTGTGTGTGGTGGTCCTCTAAATTTGCTGATTACTTACTAGTCAAAGTACAATAAATGTATACATCAAACCATAAATGAGTATAAAATGCTCATCCAACAATATGTAACTACCCTTCCGCATTACTTACTCTCTATAAAACAATACACATTTGAGGTTGGAAAAAGCTGCACATTACCCTTCCAGAATAATGGTATTGGTGCAGGGGAAGGGGGAACAAGTTGGAACAAGGTATGAATTTTGTTCATTTAAATTGTTCTTGCTAACAAGACTAACATATTATCTTTTGTTTAGTGTTTTCATTGTGGAGAACAAGGTCATTGGGCCAAGTCATGCACCTATAAACACATTCCTTGTACAGAGGCCTGCCCCGATGTCAAGTGACATTCATGTAATTTCCATGTTTATGTTTGTGTTTTTAATTAGTTTAGAGTGATTGTTACTTTGGAAATTACACACTTTTGGTGTAATAGTTTAGTTTGTAAAATGTTTGTAAATTGTTTAGATTAGGTTTATTCTGAGCTCAAACAGGTTCAAGATCACTCTAGGGACCATTGGTGAACATCACAAGTGGAAGGAAGGTGCAAAAGTTCCAAGACAAAATGAAGATTCTGATTTTTGGTGTTGTACCCGGTCGGGTATGCCCTATACCCGATCGGGTAAGTCGCTGAAAAATTAAATCGGATCAACCCGGGAACAAGGGGGAGATTTTGACCACGATCGAGTGTTCATACCCGATCGGGTGGCCGACATACCCGATCGGGTATGCCCCAGTTTTTCACACTTCTGCGAAGCAACCGAATACCCGATCGAGTGCCCTTACAGCCCGATCGGGTACATGACCCTGCAAGTCTAAAAAGCCTATAAATACACCTCATTTCCTCCACAATAAATCACCAATTCCTATATACTTCTAAGCTCAGTTTAGACAAGTTATTTCTTTATATTTTCTTCATGTTTAGTCTCCAAATGAGGAGCTAAACTCTCCCATCTTGGTTTTGCTACTTTGAAGCTTAATGAATTGTAAGTTGTGAGTTATTTTCTTTAATCTTCTTCCTTGAATATTAATTAATTCCTATTCCTATTACATATTAATATTTTGAGCATTACTTAAAGGATCAACTAGTTTTGTTTCATATATTAATTAATAGTAGAATCGGTCGATTAATACGTTTGTTATTAATTCGGTTCTTTCACGGTAGTAAACTTGGGTTGTTAATGCATGCGTCTCATAGTTAATAACCGAAGGGGGATTAATTATATTGATTAAACCAATAAACCGCTTGTGTTGAGGTTATCAATCTCTATCGTTTTCATCTCTATTCTATTGCTACTATCGAGTGAATATACGGCGCGTGTTCAATATTAACTCGGTAGTATGTTTTATTAATGAACGCGTCTCGTTATTAATAACTACCCTCGATGAATTGGATATACTCCTCGATTGAGTATTCGAGAGGAAGATAGTTAAAGATATAACCGGGATCGACGAACATTTCATTAAGTGGATAAAAGCAAAACCACGTCTTCTTCTCATTAATTAAAACACATAAGTCGTTCATCTTCATGTTTGAATATAATTTAAAGTTCATCAACCAACCATAAAACCCCCCCTTGTTACTTATTTCCAAGTTTTATAAAAAGAGAAATGTTCTTTTCCCTGTGGATACGAACCTTACTACACTATACTACATATTAGTGTCGTATTGATTATTATTTTGAGTGCATACACGACAAAGTGCACGTCATCAAGCATTCAAATGGGTAGATTTACCAAAACAGAAAGAAATAGCAAGAGATGTACCAACCAAGAAAAAACCATCCACAAGTGAAGCAACAACAACCATTCATAGGCAAAACCGTAATGTTAAAGTGATTGTAGAATAAGATGGGGGGGAAATAACATATGAAGGTCAGGTATGTGATGTAATTCAACTTATGAGTAAAAAACTCATTATATAATATTACTGTTTTGGTCTACAGACCTTTCATATTACATTGAGCAAAAAACTGCAAGTGCAATGTGTTTATACTTTGTTGTTATCTAATTCTAGCAAATTTAGTTAGCTCTGGTACTTATAAAAAAAGAGTGAGCTTCATGTCTAGAATTTACAAGGAGAAAAAAACCAGTTAGACCACTTATATTGCATCTGTGCATTGAGCAAAACCGGTTGTAGCAACAACTAGTTGTGGTAAACACTAGTTGTGTCAACAACTCTGCAAAAACATACACACACACACACATATGACTTACTTATGGTAGGCAGTAGTACTTCCACCACCTCTTCTACCCCCTGTACCACCTGTCCTTCCAGCACCACGTCCATTTAGTACAAAACCACCTCTTGAACCAGCCCTTGAACCAGCCCTTGCACCTGCCCTTGAACCAACCCTTGCACCTGCCCTTGAACTAGCCCTTCCATCAGCCCTTGCACCACCTGTAGCACCTCTCCCACCACCTCTAGCAATTGGCCCTCCTTTACATGATCTCTTGTTATGCCCAAAAGATTGGCACTTGGTTCACTTCTTTTGACTTTTGGATTGTGTTTCTATCTCATCATGCCCCTTTACTCTATTGTTTTTAGGCCTCCCGAGGGCTCTTGAAAGCTTAGGTGGCAATAGAAGTTCATTTCCCCGCACAATTTTAAAATAATGCTTAATATGGTTAGTATTTGTGCTTAATGATTCTGGAATGTATGAATGTATATATTGATTTCATACTACCTCTGGCCAATCACTTTCATGTGATATTGGTTTGAAATTAGTTTGATAACATGCTTTGTAGGCCTTCACATGTAGTAATGGATTACAAAATCAATAAGCAACAACAAAATGAAGTGAAATACAAAACAAGCATTCAGTTCCAATATAAAAATTAAACAAAGAAATAAAGTAAAGGTAATAGGAACATACTGAGGTAGTGGAAGTCTCAAATGGCTGATCAAACGCACTGCATGTACACATGGTATGCCTGTGACCTGCCACTCACAACACTCACACTCTTGTTTGTTTAAATTAATAATCCAATGTTCCCCAGCAAATTTTCTCACACATAATGTCCCTTCACCTGAAGGGCAGGTGACATAATCATTTTGCTTCTCCTTATAAGCTGCCAGGATGCTACCAACCCCAAGTACAACATCATTCTCATTCCAAGTACTACTCTGAGCTTTCCTATCATACATAATCTCTGTAACACCGGACCCGAATTTTACCCAGATAAAATTTTTTCGTAAAGTACTTGGTTAAAGAAGGTAAATCAAGACTAAGAGTAGTCTCGATAAATGAGAAAGTAAAATTTTGTCCTAAATTAATAAAGGGTTATTAATTTAGACGTAGGACCACACGTGGTATTTCAAGTTTATAAAATATTACTATTTTCCAAAACGATACTATTATGATAGTAGGAATGGGTCGTGGACCCCATTGTTATAAAGAGCGACAACTGGACGGCCGAGCGGGCCAGGGCCACTATTCGATAGTGGGGAGTCCTTAATTATCGGACTGTCAATAATTCGTAGGACTACGAATTTATAACAGAAGAAATATAAACATTCTAAGAAACCAAAATAATGGGATGAATAATATTGATTAACTTGGTATATTAAAGGAGGGTACTTTTAGAGGACCCTACCTTAAAGATATTTTATTTTGGGAACAAACAGATAAGATTTTATCTGTTTTTACATTTCGGATCACTTAAAAAGATGTGTAACATTTTATTTAAGTGTCACCAAATATGAAACCACATATCAAGTAATGAGAAATGACGAGTGAATTTTCGAGGCAACGCGTTCTCATTTTTACTGTTACTTGAACAGTAAAATACACGTTGGGCCCACACGTGGGCGGCGACCATCCGATATTCACGGACCACATATTATATTCATCTTGGTTTAGATAATATTTATATGATGGTGTAAATTAATGTTGAGCCATAAAGTTGGCCTTTCGATCAAACAAGGTCCCATTATCGGTATAGTTAGTTAATCAGATAACAGCCCGAAATAAATTCCGGGGACCATTAAATTGAAGTTGGGTAATATATATTCATTTTAGAGTCCAATATTAATTGGAAGAATGATATATATTTTACTTAACCCGATAAAATAAAATATAATTAAAACAGTCCAAAAAATACAACTTTCGGGACAAATTGTACACTTTGGGACATAAAGGGATGACCTCCCACATGGGTGGGGGCCACCCCACGACTTATGGTCTCAAATAAGTGAGGAGGACCATGTTGGAGAGCTGGAAATGAATTGAGATGATGGGGGGATTAATCAAGTCATCAAATGAACTTCTCCCCCACACCATTCACACATGAAAGACAACAAGGACATCTCACTCACCCACCCTCCTATTATTTCGGCCCTAGCATCAATTAGGGAGGAAAGGAGTCTCAAAAACATCATCTCCACCAGCTCTACTCGAGCTAAGAACAAGGGGAAAGAAGGAAGCAAGAAGAGAGGAGGCTGCCAACCAGTTCGTACAATTTCAACCCTCGAGATTGTTCACTTCATATCTCACGCATCTCTTATCCAATGAGCTCGAGTAAGGTGTCATTAGATAGGTATTGAAGAGAGATTTCATACGAGGTGCTGCACTTAAGGATACGAGGTGTTTACAGCTCAAAAAGGGCAGATAAACACACGAGGTATAAATCTGGATTCTCAAAACAGTTTGTATTTGGTTTCTAGTTATTACCCAAAATTGTTTATAAACCCTATTAACGAATAAAGTGGATATCCTACACGATTATAAGTGTAGTATAAGACCTTAATATAGTAATTTAATCATCCAAAGGGTTGGCTAATAACCATGAACGGAGTTATGACCGGAGTAAGACCGGTTCACCGGAAAACACCTTCTCGGAAGGTTTTGATGTTTATACCACTTTTGGTTTATGAAACCTTGTTAGGTCTTTTACCAAGATATTCTAGACTTCTCGAAGAATCTAGGAGTGGCCGGAAAAGTCGCCGGAGCCGCCGGAGTTTTCGCCGGAAAATTCAAAAGTCGCCGGAGTTCGAACAAAGAAGATAAAAGCTTGCTAGCGTCATTTCAAGGTGAGTGGACGACTACGTGTCTTGTAACTCTTGGGTCAAACGTGGGATTACCTAAATAAAATCCTTATCATGATTTGAGGAATGATTAAATGGATTAAAATGCATGATTAGTCATGGTGAATATGAATTATGGAAATATTACATGATTAATGAATACGAGATTTATTTGTGGATTAATCATGAATATATTATTGTCAAATGTATAAAAAATGCACACATGGACTATGTATGAGATCACTAGAGTAATCTAGTATGTGGATATGTATAGAAATGTTTAAAAGTGTTTAAACATGTGATTAGCTATAATGAGTATAAGTTATTGGGAAATGGCATGATTAATGAGTAAAAGAATTATTAATATTTTGATGAAGGATAATCATGGATGATTTGGCTAAGGTAATTCAAGATGGTATTCTTGAAGGATTCAAGTACATAATCATACATGTCATTAAATTAAATCTAGTTATGAAGAATAAACTAGAACGAAATATATAAGCGATTAATAAGTATGAAGTACTTATTAATAGTTGTGAGAAGACAGCGTTATGTTTCATAACTTTTGAGTGAGGCATAGATTACCTAAAGTAATCAAGAATATATTTTATTGAATGATTAAAGATAATCAAGTATGTGTTATGCCATGATTATATGTAAAATATAGTTGAAAGGCATGTTAAGTAAGCTTGATGATTTAAAATGTGATAATTAATTATGTATGATGTTCCAAGGACCCAAAAAGGTATTTTTGGATTAAGGAAGTCAAGAAGTACATGTGTATAAAATTTCACGTAAATCGGACTTCGTTTGTGCGGTCAAACGGGCGTTGACCGCCAAGTCAAAGGCTATACCCGACCGGGTATACGTAAATACCCGACCGGGTATTAGCTAAAAATCAGTTCCAGAGGCTACTGCCTCACCATACCCGACCGGGTATGGGTAATACCCGACCGGGTATTAGCTAAAATCAGTTCCAAAGGCTACTGCCTCACCATACCCGACCGGGTATGGGTAATACCCGACCGGGTATTGGGTAATACACCCAATATGCAGTTTTTGAGTAAGTTTATGTGGGCCGTTCGGGTGGGACCCGTCCACATTGGTTGCTAAGGCTTCAAATACGGTTTAAACGCTAAGACTTGGACTAGTCGTTAGTAAAGAAATTATAGACCACGACCGGGCGAGGTACGTGGTAGATTATACATGGCGGGTGAATACCCGGGACCGAGTAAGGTTGCGTAAAACTCTGTAGGACCAGGAGGAGTCCTTTATACTCAAATGTTAACAAGGGCCCGTGTAGTCCTTGAGGTGTGTTAACCTCCAGCAAATTACACATAGGTAACAAGGGCAAATGCAGTCCTTGAGGTGTGTTAACCTCCATCAAATTGCATATAGGTAACAAGGGCCCGTGTAGTCCTTGAGGTGTGTTAACCTCCAGCAAATTACACATAGGTAACAAGGGCAAATGCAGTCCTTGAGGTGTGGTATCCTCCATCAAATTGCATATAGGTAACAAGGGCCCGTGTAGTCCTTGAGGTGTGGTATCCTCCAGCAAATTACACATAGGTAACAAGGGCAAGTGCAGTCCTTGAGGTGTGGTATCCTCCATCAAATTGCACATAGGTAACAAGGGCCCGTGTAGTCCTTGAGGTGTGTTAACCTCCAGCAAATTACACGTAGGATGAGGGTGTATGCGTACTCCTCAAGGCGGGGTTAGCCCCGGGAATGTAAACTATGATTGTAAGGACGGATAGTCCTCGAGGTAGGTGAACCTCAAGGTAATGATTTTAAATGATTAAACGTGCTTGATCGGGAATGAGTTTCCGATAGGATATTTTCCTTGGTCTAGGAATTGATTTAAACCATGTCCGTGATATGGGAGTCCGAAGGGCCCCCACAGTAATTATATTTTGATATCGGGTGAGTCAGCCTGCGGGTGACTCCACTCGAGGGTAAGACATGGGAAGGGTGAATTTAATGAGGCTGTTACGCCTAAATGATTTGAAAGACAAATGGGCCCACGGGCCGGATATTTTACTCATATGTATATATGTATACATTTTGTTTTGAAAAGGGGTAGCTAAGAGTTATGCCCATAATTATACTATCACCCTATTTTGAGGGTCTCACGTGAGAAACGTTAGTTACATTACATACAGTTTGCCCTCACCAGTACTTTTCTGTAGTACTGATCCCTCGGGGGAACCACCCTTTCAGGTTGAAGCTAGAGCTTACTTCCTGCACCCGTTGCTCGGGAGATCGATGGAGAGAAGACGTGGTTCGTGCTTCCTCTCGTTCCATTTTTAAATAATTAAATAATGCTCATGGAACTATTTTGACTTATAAATTAATGGAGCCTGCGAGCTCTTGTTTTACCCTTGTGTGGGTTCTTATTAAAACACTTATATTCCGCTATGTGTTTGATTGTATGTTGATGTTGTTATGTATGTTTACTAATCGGTTTTGGCATATGTATCTATCGGACGTCTTGTGCAATTCGGTAAGGATGAACTGCGGTTATTCTTATTGGGTTGTACGACGGTTGTCCACGTGGCACAGACGCGGTCTGGGGCGTGACAATTAAGTGGTATCAGAGCCAAACGATTTCTAAACTATATAGTCAACCTCTCAACAGAGTTTCTATCAAAACAGTTTTCAATGAAAAACCATGAGCATAAGTTTTGTACTTTAAGAGCATTTGGTTATCGAGTTGCAAGGTCTCTGGTTGTTAAGATGGGCCCCTTAACAATTGGTATGGCAGTGACTTGAGCCAAGTTGTGTCTTGAGTATGTTTCTGTCAATTGACATTCAAACGAGTCCAAAGACTCATTCCAACATATTCTTTCAGGAATGGGTGGTAGCGATAGGGCGGTTCGAGGAAATCCGAGAGGGCGCGCACCAGGGATAGCCGGGCAAGCCAATCGGGGGATATCAAGGTCGCGTAAAAGGCGAGGTATGGGCAATCAAGGCCCACGAACACGAGCCACGATGGCTGATCACAATGTGACTGAATTCGAGTCGTGGAACTCGGAGGATGATTCAACTTATCACCCTGAAAGCGAGTCAGATGAAACTTCTTTTCAGGAAAACAGTGGAGAGGATATACAAAGTATTCCTCCTGACCATGTTAGTGAGATGTACCGATGGTACCAACGTGAAAGGGAAAGACAACGACAGATATCCCAGGTGGGACATGTCAGAGACGAGACCTCTCGCAGGAGGGGTCGGGGTGCTCATAGAGCACAGGTTAGGACAGTCAGAGATTCTGATGACGAAAGGCCATTCATTAAGATCTCAAAGTACCTCAAAGAGGCTAGGGCCTTGGGGTGCAAACCGTTTGATGGGACGGGGGATATCTCGGAAGCAGCCGAGTGGATAAAAAGGTTAAATGATGCAGCCGATGACATGCAAGTGGTTCCTGAACGGAAGTTAAGGGTAGCCACTAGATTGTTGGAAGGTTTAGCTTCTACTTGGTGGGAAGGCATCAAGGGTAAGTTTGACGGGGTTGTCACGTGGGACAACTTCGAGCAATCATTCTATGAACAGTTTTATACCTCTTTCGAAGTTAATCGAAAGAGGAGGGAATATACAAATCTCAAACAGGGCAATGAGTTTACGGTGAAGCAATTGGAACAAAGGTTCCGACATTTGGCAAGGTTCTTGCCTGAATATGCCGCCAATGAGGATCGAATGGCGAATCATTTTTGGAATGCACTGAATTTGGAGGTACGCGAAAGGGCGACCTATCAATTCAACATGACTTTTAGTCAAGTAGTAGCCCAGGGTCTCCAGGGGGAGGAGCTTTGGGAGGAAAGGCAAGCAAGGGGTGCTAAGGAAGCACAAGAAAGGGATCAGATGATCAATCATCCTATGCGACGAGAGAGGAAGTATGACTTTCAAAGCGAGGGGGACTCTAGCAAGTTAGTTCCATTTTCAAAAGGGAGCAAGGACTGGGTAAGTCAAAGCTCAAGCACTCGGGGCACGGGAGCACCCAAATGTGAAAATTGTAGGCGAAAGCACTACGGGATATGTCTAGAACCATCTAGATGCTACTTTTGTGGAGAAACGGGCCACATAAAGGCTCTTTGTCCTCAACGTGTACGGGGAGAAGCCTTGGGGGCCCACAGGGGAGTCACGAAGGTTGCAAACCCAACAGGGATTGCTTCAAATGTTTTACCATCCACCAATCGGGGGAGAACTCGCTCGTGAAGGCGATGAATGACAGAAGCCATTTGTGGGAATGACTATGACATAAGGTAATACTCCGTATTTATTTAAACACTTCATTTCAAAAAAAAATTTATGATGTTGAAGATGGTCAGCTTCAATTAATGAAGGGGGAAGTATTTCTCAAGGTTAAGACGCCAATTTCGGGGACGAAATTCCTGTAAGGGGGGGTGAACTTGTAACACCGGACCCGAATTTTACCCAGATAAAATTTTTTCGTAAAGTACTTGGTTAAAGAAGGTAAATCAAGACTAAGAGTAGTCTCGATAAATGAGAAAGTAAAATTTTGTCCTAAATTAATAAAGGGTTATTAATTTAGACGTAGGACCACACGTGGTATTTCAAGTTTATAAAATATTACTATTTTCCAAAACGATACTATTATGATAGTAGGAATGGGTCGTGGACCCCATTGTTATAAAGAGCGACAACTGGACGGCCGAGCGGGCCAGGGCCACTATTCGATAGTGGGGAGTCCTTAATTATCGGACTGTCAATAATTCGTAGGACTACGAATTTATAACAGAAGAAATATAAACATTCTAAGAAACCAAAATAATGGGATGAATAATATTGATTAACTTGGTATATTAAAGGAGGGTACTTTTAGAGGACCCTACCTTAAAGATATTTTATTTTGGGAACAAACAGATAAGATTTTATCTGTTTTTACATTTCGGATCACTTAAAAAGATGTGTAACATTTTATTTAAGTGTCACCAAATATGAAACCACATATCAAGTAATGAGAAATGACGAGTGAATTTTCGAGGCAACGCGTTCTCATTTTTACTGTTACTTGAACAGTAAAATACACGTTGGGCCCACACGTGGGCGGCGACCATCCGATATTCACGGACCACATATTATATTCATCTTGGTTTAGATAATATTTATATGATGGTGTAAATTAATGTTGAGCCATAAAGTTGGCCTTTCGATCAAACAAGGTCCCATTATCGGTATAGTTAGTTAATCAGATAACAGCCCGAAATAAATTCCGGGGACCATTAAATTGAAGTTGGGTAATATATATTCATTTTAGAGTCCAATATTAATTGGAAGAATGATATATATTTTACTTAACCCGATAAAATAAAATATAATTAAAACAGTCCAAAAAATACAACTTTCGGGACAAATTGTACACTTTGGGACATAAAGGGATGACCTCCCACATGGGTGGGGGCCACCCCACGACTTATGGTCTCAAATAAGTGAGGAGGACCATGTTGGAGAGCTGGAAATGAATTGAGATGATGGGGGGATTAATCAAGTCATCAAATGAACTTCTCCCCCACACCATTCACACATGAAAGACAACAAGGACATCTCACTCACCCACCCTCCTATTATTTCGGCCCTAGCATCAATTAGGGAGGAAAGGAGTCTCAAAAACATCATCTCCACCAGCTCTACTCGAGCTAAGAACAAGGGGAAAGAAGGAAGCAAGAAGAGAGGAGGCTGCCAACCAGTTCGTACAATTTCAACCCTCGAGATTGTTCACTTCATATCTCACGCATCTCTTATCCAATGAGCTCGAGTAAGGTGTCATTAGATAGGTATTGAAGAGAGCTTTCATACGAGGTGCTGCACTTAAGGATACGAGGTGTTTACAGCTCAAAAAGGGCAGATAAACACACGAGGTATAAATCTGGATTCTCAAAACAGTTTGTATTTGGTTTCTAGTTATTACCCAAAATTGTTTATAAACCCTATTAACGAATAAAGTGGATATCCTACACGATTATAAGTGTAGTATAAGACCTTAATATAGTAATTTAATCATCCAAAGGGTTGGCTAATAACCATGAACGGAGTTATGACCGGAGTAAGACCGGTTCACCGGAAAACACCTTCTCGGAAGGTTTTGATGTTTATACCACTTTTGGTTTATGAAACCTTGTTAGGTCTTTTACCAAGATATTCTAGACTTCTCGAAGAATCTAGGAGTGGCCGGAAAAGTCGCCGGAGCCGCCGGAGTTTTCGCCGGAAAATTCAAAAGTCGCCGGAGTTCGAACAAAGAAGATAAAAGCTTGTTAGCGTCATTTCAAGGTGAGTGGACGACTACGTGTCTTGTAACTCTTGGGTCAAACGTGGGATTACCTAAATAAAATCCTTATCATGATTTGAGGAATGATTAAATGGATTAAAATGCATGATTAGTCATGGTGAATATGAATTATGGAAATATTACATGATTAATGAATACGAGATTTATTTGTGGATTAATCATGAATATATTATTGTCAAATGTATAAAAAATGCACACATGGACTATGTATGAGATCACTAGAGTAATCTAGTATGTGGATATGTATAGAAATGTTTAAAAGTGTTTAAACATGTGATTAGCTATAATGAGTATAAGTTATTGGGAAATGGCATGATTAATGAGTAAAAGAATTATTAATATTTTGATGAAGGATAATCATGGATGATTTGGCTAAGGTAATTCAAGATGGTATTCTTGAAGGATTCAAGTACATAATCATACATGTCATTAAATTAAATCTAGTTATGAAGAATAAACTAGAACGAAATATATAAGCGATTAATAAGTATGAAGTACTTATTAATAGTTGTGAGAAGACAGCGTTATGTTTCATAACTTTTGAGTGAGGCATAGATTACCTAAAGTAATCAAGAATATATTTTATTGAATGATTAAAGATAATCAAGTATGTGTTATGCCATGATTATATGTAAAATATAGTTGAAAGGCATGTTAAGTAAGCTTGATGATTTAAAATGTGATAATTAATTATGTATGATGTTCCAAGGACCCAAAAAGGTATTTTTGGATTAAGGAAGTCAAGAAGTACATGTGTATAAAATTTCACGTAAATCGGACTTCGTTTGTGCGGTCAAACGGGCGTTGACCGCCAAGTCAAAGGCTATACCCGACCGGGTATACGTAAATACCCGACCGGGTATTAGCTAAAAATCAGTTCCAGAGGCTACTGCCTCACCATACCCGACCGGGTATGGGTAATACCCGACCGGGTATTAGCTAAAATCAGTTCCAGAGGCTACTGCCTCACCATACCCGACCGGGTATGGGTAATACCCGACCGGGTATTGGGTAATACACCCAATATGCAGTTTTTGAGTAAGTTTATGTGGGCCGTTCGGGTGGGACCCGTCCACATTGGTTGCTAAGGCTTCAAATACGGTTTAAACGCTAAGACTTGGACTAGTCGTTAGTAAAGAAATTATAGACCACGACCGGGCGAGGTACGTGGTAGATTATACATGGCGGGTGAATACCCGGGACCGAGTAAGGTTGCGTAAAACTCTGTAGGACCAGGAGGAGTCCTTTATACTCAAATGTTAACAAGGGCCCGTGTAGTCCTTGAGGTGTGTTAACCTCCAGCAAATTACACATAGGTAACAAGGGCAAATGCAGTCCTTGAGGTGTGTTAACCTCCATCAAATTGCATATAGGTAACAAGGGCCCGTGTAGTCCTTGAGGTGTGTTAACCTCCAGCAAATTACACATAGGTAACAAGGGCAAATGCAGTCCTTGAGGTGTGGTATCCTCCATCAAATTGCATATAGGTAACAAGGGCCCGTGTAGTCCTTGAGGTGTGGTATCCTCCAGCAAATTACACATAGGTAACAAGGGCAAGTGCAGTCCTTGAGGTGTGGTATCCTCCATCAAATTGCACATAGGTAACAAGGGCCCGTGTAGTCCTTGAGGTGTGTTAACCTCCAGCAAATTACACGTAGGATGAGGGTGTATGCGTACTCCTCAAGGCGGGGTTAGCCCCGGGAATGTAAACTATGATTGTAAGGACGGATAGTCCTCGAGGTAGGTGAACCTCAAGGTAATGATTTTAAATGATTAAACGTGCTTGATCGGGAATGAGTTTCCGATAGGATATTTTCCTTGGTCTAGGAATTGATTTAAACCATGTCCGTGATATGGGAGTCCGAAGGGCCCCCACAGTAATTATATTTTGATATCGGGTGAGTCAGCCTGCGGGTGACTCCACTCGAGGGTAAGACATGGGAAGGGTGAATTTAATGAGGCTGTTACGCCTAAATGATTTGAAAGACAAATGGGCCCACGGGCCGGATATTTTACTCATATGTATATATGTATACATTTTGTTTTGAAAAGGGGTAGCTAAGAGTTATGCCCATAATTATACTATCACCCTATTTTGAGGGTCTCACGTGAGAAACGTTAGTTACATTACATACAGTTTGCCCTCACCAGTACTTTTCTGTAGTACTGATCCCTCGGGGGAACCACCCTTTCAGGTTGAAGCTAGAGCTTACTTCCTGCACCCGTTGCTCGGGAGATCGATGGAGAGAAGACGTGGTTCGTGCTTCCTCTCGTTCCATTTTTAAATAATTAAATAATGCTCATGGAACTATTTTGACTTATAAATTAATGGAGCCTGCGAGCTCTTGTTTTACCCTTGTGTGGGTTCTTATTAAAACACTTATATTCCGCTATGTGTTTGATTGTATGTTGATGTTGTTATGTATGTTTACTAATCGGTTTTGGCATATGTATCTATCGGACGTCTTGTGCAATTCGGTAAGGATGAACTGCGGTTATTCTTATTGGGTTGTACGACGGTTGTCCACGTGGCACAGACGCGGTCTGGGGCGTGACAATCTCCATTAAAAGGAATGATATACATATTATCACTGAACACTCAGGTTTATCCCTTTGACTTAATATAAAACTGTTATATCTCACTGTGAAGTTATTTGTCAGGTGATCACTCTTACATGTTGTATCAAAATGTGCTTTTGACCATAACTCTGGACCTATCTCCAACAAATAATCCTTGATGCCAACTGCTGCCTCATCCAACTTCTGAAGACTTCTTTGAAAGTGAACCTTTTTATATGCTGAAGCAGTAGCCCATGTCAGCTCTTTTATGTGTTCCCCTTTCCACCACTTACTCATATTCTTGAAGATGTGTCTAGAGCAGCTCCTAGGATTGCAGCCTCCCAAATGTGTCTGAATACTTGTTATAATAGCTTGAGCCCTATCAGATGTGACAGTAAGTGGCAAAGGGTGTTTCTTCAGCTTCGGAGCTATTGATGCCAAAAATTTGTCTCAGTTCTCACCATCTTCTTTTCTACAAATGAAGACTGCTAGAGGAAACAGTCCATTATTCCCATCCATGCTAATAACTGTTAGACACACTCCTCTGTATTGTCCTTTTAGAAAGCAACCATCCAACACTACCAGTGGCCTGCAGACAGTTCTCCACCCTTTCAAGCTACACGTAAAAGCAACACATAAATACTGAAATTTATTGTCAGAGTCATATTTGCACTCAACCAAACTACCAGGATTAGAAGCTAGAATCTGTCTGCACAATTCAGGAACTTGAGTATAACTTTTCTCATAATTGCCATGGAGCTCTTCAAGTGCCATTAGCCTCGCATTCCATGCTTGTCAGTAACCAATGTTTAAAGCCCACCTATTCCAAGCTATAACAATGATATCTTGGGGTGTGTAACTGTTGTGGTGCAGCCTCATGTCCTCAGCCAGCATAACAACAATCCATCTAGCATTTGCCCCTCTATTCTTGTTCCTGCCATCATTTTCACAAGTATGTTCTTCTTGGAGAGACTTCACTTCAGTTGTGTGCCCATCATTTTTCTAGGGAAAAGGGGCAAATAAGACCACGTACTAACCAAAAAAAGGTCAAATAAGGCCTTATTTATGAGGCTCTGTCCGGCCTTTGCCATTTGGGGTGGTTCTCGGTGGATTTTTTTGATAAAGTTTTTGCCCATCTTATTCATTAAGTCTAGTTTACTCATACCAAATTTCTGCTAAAACTTCAATCGGGGAGGCATTCAAATGAATTCTTGAAGATAATCGAGAAAGCTTTCAGCGCAACTATCATCAAGAATTCATTTGAATGCCTTCTCGATTGAAGTTTTAGCTGAAATTTGGTATGAGTAAACTAGACTTACTGAATAAGATGCTCAAAAAATTCCATCAAAAAAATCCACCGGGAACCACCCCAAATGGCGACGGACGGACAGGGCCTCTTAAATAAGACCTTATTTGACCCTTTCTGGTTAGTATATGGCATTATGTGCCCCTTTTCTCTTTTTTCTAATAACATAACACCTCCAAGAACATCTTTCCCCTTTACACCTCAATATAAGCTTACCTACACAATTTTTCTGAAATAGGATCACAAATTTATTCTTGATGGCATACATTTTAATGCACTTTCTGCATGCATCCACAGTGACCCATTGTTTTCCTATTGCCAAGTCTAATTGGTCTTCCCATTTCATAGAAATCACTCCCTTCTTCTGCATAAGAACTATTGTCATCTAAATTTCCTCATCTGATTCATTCATATCATCTGATTTATTCAGATCATACCCATCTAGTCCATCAACAATGTGCTCAAATTGGATACCTACATAACACAGTACAATAACATGTACATCAACAATATAAATAAATCATTTACTTAAATACATATACAACACAACATAATTTCATTATATTGAACCAAGTAATGAGCATATACCTTCATAAAACTGTGAGGTATCCTCAACATTTGGCACATTCAGAGAGTTGTTCAGTGGAGGTAATTCAACGAATATATCACCAAAATCATCACTATTTGTTCTTTCATCTATGCTACTTTCATAGAATGGTACCCTAACTGAAATCATTCAAATAACCCATCTTAATAATAAAAAATCAAAAACTGTGTATCACAAACTCGATATAACAAACTCTTTATAAAAGAATCTTCATAATCAAATATGACAAACTAAGCATCATCCAACTTACTTGGAGCCGATAAATAGTCCATTTTTCTCTTCACGGGAAACTTTGATGTCCTCTGAATCCTTTGCACAGCCGTTGGAGTAGGTACTCCTAAATCCACCCATACATTGTTATCATCTTCCATTCTATTTCCTTCATTCATCCCAACCCTAATTCACTCGCACCAAGCCAATTGGGAGAACATTCAAATTGGTGCTCTCTGAGAAAGAAGAATGCGAACGACTGTGGTAGCCACTTTGATCAGGGCATTGGCGTCATTATACACCTCTGTTTACCTCTTAACAGCTAACTAATAGATGGAGGGTGTAAAAATACTAACAATTTTAAAATTAGGGTGCAAAGGCTAATTAGGGGTATAAAAGAGGGTGCAAAGTCTAAATAACCCTAATTTTTACTCTGGTGATCTTTGATGAATATATGTTGACCTTTAAAGCAATATGAAAACTATTTCTATAATTTCAATTTCTTAAATAAGCTTCCCGTGAATAGATGAGTTTTTTTTCGCATTTATTACTTTAACAAGAACATAGATATATATCTTTGGAGGGCAGTTCATATCAGGTCGGCCTGACGGCGACTGTCAGGCCGAGGCCATTTGGGACCCTTTCCGGTGGAATTTTTTGATGAATTTTTTAGCATATTGCTCATCAAGTCTATTTTATCCATACCAAATTTCAGCTAAAAATTCAATCGAGAAGGCAGCCAGAAAAAATTCCTACGGTTGATTTTTTTTTACTGCCTTACCGAATGAATTTTTAGCGGAAATTTGGTATGAATAAACTAAACTTGATGAGAAAGATGCTAAAAAAATTTAATAAAAAAATGAGAAATGGTCCCGGGTAGGACTAAAAATAACTTTATGTATCTAAATAAGAGTTGAATGTTTTTAATACCTAAATACGACCATTTATATGTTTACTCCCTATTTTGCCCTTATAGATAATATTGTAATACTCTGTTTAATCTCTTTCCTTCGATTTCTTATTTCTCGATTGCTTCCGCCATTCGTCTCTCGCCCTTTCCCCAAAATCAAGGAATATGATTCTTCTTTCCTCTATACGCAGTGGCGAAGTTGGGAAGGGCGGTTGCGGCGGAGTTACAAGAGCAACGGTGACACTGCCGACACAGTTGGAAGGGAGACGGCGGCAGATCTGGAATTTTCATCTCTAGAATTTTCTTTTTCTTCTTTTTTGGTGTATCTGCCGTCGACTTAGGTTTCTTTTTCATATTTGTTGTAATTTCATTTTTCATGCTCCTTTTGTTCTGCTTTTGATGCGCATCCAATTGTTTTTTTTGTTGATATTTTTGTTGGTCGTTTTTTCTCCACTCTGGTTTCACTTTTTGTTAGGCGTGTAGAGCCTGCTCTAGAAAAAAAATTAGAAGGGCGAAGAGGTGTTCACAAAGCCTCAAATGCTTCTACTCCATGAGGCTGCTTCTTAATCCAGTAGTAATTGTTTGTACTTCTGATGTATCGATAGTAATAATTTAAGAAGACTTTGTGGTTGTCTGCTTCAGCTTCTCTTTCACAACAGTAATAATTTATTTTAGTTCTTTTCGTTTGGGTGGTTCTTGCCACCGCTAATGTGCAAACCTAGGTGTTGTGGAAGAATTGAACACATTTTTGGGCTGGTTTTCGGAACTAGCAATCCAATGTAGCAAACAAATACGGAATATAATGATTTTACTAAGAGCATCTCCATTCATGCTCCTAAAGTTTACGGGTTTTTATAGTTTATATTTGCCACATCATTGCCACATAAAAAATCTAAAAAATGATCAACTTGTCCTCAATCATGATCTCCATTTATCCAGATTTTTATGAAACATACATAAACTCAAAATCCTCACTTCAATGCATTCACACACTTATAAACTACGGAGTAGTGCATAGTGCATGCGTACACACACTGTAAATAGTACTACGTAATATACATGTATATATGTGTGTGTATGCATGTATACATACCAACACATGCATAAAATCAATAAATAAATAAGTCTGAGTTAATATTACGTGTAATGATAGGAGTATATATTATTTTAATTTTAAAAAAATTAATGAGTACATAGTATACATTTACCGTAGAAAATTTAAAAGGCATGCAACTTTCTTTTTAAAAAAGATAAACATATGTTGAAGAATGGTTGGAGCCGTACACTAAATGTAAGCTTAATTGTGTTTTGAAAGTTGGGAGAAAAAACCTTGAACTTTGGGAATAATCTTGAAAGTGGGAAATAATCTCAAAATAATCTAGCTTTAGAATTTGATACTAGATTATTTTATAAAATAATCTCATAAAATAATCTCTACTCCTCATCCATGATCCTCAAAAAAATCCTCCACATCATCAAAATAATCCCAAAAATAATCTATGGATGTGGATGCCCTAATAAGTTCACATTTTCATACCATGATAGATTGTTGATCATGTTTATTTTAAAAGGACAATATCAATTTTATAGCATTTGACATTATTTTTAACAATGCCATTTTTCTAAAATCGAACAATGTCACGACACTCATTGACATTAGCATTTGACACTCATTTTTAACAATGTCACGAAGACAGTCATTTACTTAGCATTGACATATTATTACAATGTCATTTTTTATAATATTAACGTTAACATTGTTATTGTCATTATTTCACATTGTGACATTTGTACCTACATTCTGATAGTGTTTACAAATTTTTTTTTGTAATTGTTCTTTATAGTATTAACAATGTCACAATGTTACAGTATCACAATGTCATTAACATATTAATGTCACAAAATCACACGATATTGTCACAATATTACAATGTTATCAAAGAAAATAATGTCATTTTTTGACAATGTGAAACTGTTGATTTCAAAGTATTACATGATAATGTCAAAATATAATTACACAATTTCACAATGTTAACAACAAAAACAATGTCACTATGTCAATGACAATGTAACAATATTACAATGTCATTATATTACATTACTAGCATTGACACGCGCGTTGCGCGAGGGTCGATGCCCAATGGCGAAGATGGGCTGTGAAAAATGAGCAAAAGTAGAGAAAAACAAGAACGAGAAATAGTGGCTTAACATTGTCAATTCACTGGAGTGCAGTTTAAAAATAATTCATGACTGTTTGAAGCAGGTCATTGGTAAAGAAAACAGAACACCAAAAGTAGTAGTAATTCAACGGAGAGGTAACAATCCAGAGGATCAAGCAGGCCCAGCCACATTGGTGCATGCAAGGTTTCTGATCATGTTTGTATGTTTGTGGCGGGCGGCTCCTCCAAAAATAAAATAAATAACCAGATTCTTTTCTTTTTTCAAAACTAAATAACACAATAAGATAAATTAATTGAGTGTCATAGGAAGTCATACCTCAGCAAGAGAAGCACACCCACAGAATGCTAGCCGGAATGGTGCTTAACCTACAACGACCAAATAATTCCACTGTTAAGATACTTAAGGTCGGGAATTCCCATTTTGAGATAAGAAAACGGAAACAAAAGTAAGTGCATTTGGAAGAGCCTGCTCCAATGAAGCGAAACATGTAGCAGACCATTCCAAATGCTAAATTTTCAATTGGAAGGTTGAGTGTCCAGTAAAAACTACTGCCTCCGTCCCAGAAAATTCTTCCAACTTTGAGTTGGATCGCATATTTAGGTAGTGGAATAAAGTAGAAATGTATGGTTGTAGTTGTGTAAGAAAAATGTGAAATGAATGTGAGCCACACAAATAATAAAAAAGGTGAAGTTAGAAGAATTTTCTGGGACGTCCCAAAAAGGAAAGTTGGAAGAATTTTCTGGGACGGAGGGAGTAAACTATTAAGAAACACATTGTGGCTTGCCCATATTTGCATTAGTAAAACTATAATATTAAGATCTATAATAAAATATGACTAATGAAAAACTAAACAGTGGCAATATTATCAATTGGATTATTATTCTGCACTTCTTGTACAAGTAATTAAGATTATGTATTCCTAAGTAGGATTTCATAGGG